GGCAGACGTATATTGTTGCAACTGTTTTTTCTTTATTTTTAGAAGGGAGGAATGTATTTGTTCTACTACAATGTGTGTGCATTTTATGTTATTACATGTGTGAACAATTTTTCTACCATCAGGAAACTTGTTCCGATAAATCAATTAAGTACAATACAATGATATTTTTATATAATGAATTAGAAATACTGAACAATTTTTATTGATGCACCTTTACAAGTATCATTGTTTCGTGAAATTTGGTGGTGTTACGGACCGCAGGCAGTAAATAACAGGCCAAACATATTGATATGGTTTTTATATCATTGGCTAATTGTACATTAGATGTTTTCTTTCGATAATTAATGCATTTTTAAATTAGTATTTTAATTTACGTGTTTTGTGTATTTTATCTATAATGTCTTTGGACCCGAAAAAGGAGGACTTCAGTCAATTTTGTATAATTTTTAATACAAACTAAATTTTGAAATTATGTATACACTTATACATTAACTTTTTGCATTACAATACGATGCATTACATACGAATATTTTGAAAATACCTATACATCTATGCAATTTTATTTGACAAAATCTTAATTAAAATTCTTACATCCTATCATTGTGGAGAGTTTAACATCCGTAGTACTTTGTATCTGATGTAAATCCTATAAAATTCATACGTCGTTTCCATTTCTCACCTTTGTATCTAATCAAAGTGTGTTTAGCGTAATTGACTAACAGATGACACACAGTACTAACAGCTGTTCGACATTTCTCACCTAATACGTTGATGAGATATATTAAACTGTTAAAGCAATGATTCCCTGACACCATTTTAGATAAATAAAATGCCATTTTACAGTAGGGTAAGAACTTCTCCTAGGGACTAACAATATAGTTTAATCATTTAGAATTTATTATCCAATGATTTTTTTTGTTTCTATGTACTATGCAACTCTAAACGGCGTCGTGTTTTGTCGTAATTGCCATTTGATTTATCCCAAGATCTGACATATTTCGTCGACGTCCACTCTGCCGGGAATTATTTATTTTTGAGTTTACATATAGTAACTTAGATATTACTATTACGTATAGTTATAATATTATATTTTATCTTTAATATGATATAATATCGTTGACCGGTGTTGGTGATTCTGGCTATATAATCATCATAGTTGGCCAAAGATTTTTTATATTTATATGTATATTTTTTTTGAGGGAGGAATTTGTTTTAGATTCGACAGACTTTGTAGGGCCTTCGTTGCCTCATCTGCACTTATATCAATCTGTATCTTTCTATGGTTTTATCATCTATTGTTATACTTCTTAGATACATTTCATCAAACCTTCGTTTAAAACTGTTTGCTCAATACTCTGACGGTTCCTTTGTTTTTTCTCATTGTATATTTTGACCAAGACTTTCTTCAAAAGGAAGTTCAATTTTCAGATTATTTTGGAGGTATTTGCTGGATTAATGAGATGACTAAGCTTCACCAGTCTTTAATGACACTGTGGTATTAATCCTGCCGTGATAAAAATTGTTTAATATGTATTATTTATTATGAAATCGATTTTACAGCATATCTCATGTATCAGCGAAGACGTCACTGCCGGAAGTATACTATCATAATATTTTTTATAGAGTTGTACAATGATGTGACGATAAATTATATAAATATCACTTCCTGCAGCATTAGTGGGAAATGCACATTTTTTATGCAAATTCTATAGTTATTCGTTTCAAAGTGAAAACCTGAAGTTTCATATTATAAATTAGGGGATTTAAACCTCAATTTTGTTTGTTTAATTTTTATAAAAGTTTTCCCATAAATATGAATTAAAATATCATACATTAATTATTATTTTTTTAATCGTACATTAAACAAAAATTAATAATAAAATGAGAATATAATTCGTATAATGGTTTGATATATCTTGTAACTATATACCTATTACACTACTCATAGCAGCTGTATCCTCTTAGGATAAATTTGAGCAAAAGCAGTTATTTTTTCATTTGTATTAATGTGTTATCTTTAATTTATGTTAACCATTATTCCCACTGAGTTTATTTTTTGATAGTGCTTCTTGACACTTCTTTATATACATTGTTATCCAAGTCATTGAAGACTACGTTTTTTTTAAGAGTGAAAAAAAAACTGGAATTATATTAACACTGAAATGATAAAATAATATACATAAAGAGCTACATAGGTACTTGCATAGACACATGTGGTGGCTACAGTTTTCTAAACCCTTTTTTTATACGCTATTGTTATTTCATATCTTCAATATATGTTTCAATTTCAACTTGCTGTTTTCTATGATAATGATTTTAAAAACGAAGTTTCAAAATTTGGCAAATTTTCCCGTATAAAAAATGTGGTCCTTATTGCACGAAATAAACAACTTTACCAAGCAGATAAAATAACTTATAATAATTATAATTTGTATAATCTCATAATATCTATCACCATAATGTTCAATGATTTATGAATATCATCGAAGTAAAAATAATAATTGTTACCAGTATTATTTTTTTGTTTTATGTTTATTCTGTGATAATTTATTCGTCTCAGCCAGTATGAAATAATTATATATACATTTGCAGTCACAGATATGTCACAATTGAATTTTTTTTTTTAATTGCACGTAATTTACTACGCGCTTTTTCATTGTGTTTTCCTTTTTTTATTAAAATTTATTGAACAGCCTTATTGCATTGTGTTTATGTGTATATAGCGGCGGGGTTTGAGTTGGAAAAATAGCTACTAATTACTGTTTAATTAATTGGGTTTTACACACACAACGAAAACGTTGATGGCGGCGGGACACGATAGTTGATGTTTTAATCGAGTAGTGTTGTAGCTCGCAAATTAGCGGCCTATTTTCAAAACATTTACTCTAAAAAAACATAATATATTTTTGTGGATCCTGTATAGATAATTTCATAATATAGATACATAGCGGTCTATTTTCAAAACATTTACTCTAAAAAAATATAATATATTTTTGTGGATCCTGTATGGATAATTTCATAATATAGATACATAGTAATAAATTGGACTGATATAAAGTGGATTTTCACAAATATCATGCACGATAGTTATTGTCATCATGCGGATTAGACTTTAGCTTTTAAGTTTATTTAGACTTAATCGATGAAAACGTTTTTTTAATATTGTATAATATATTATTATATGATATAATACTTAGCCGGGTTGTAGTAAAAATTCTTTTGAGATATACTTAATTCGCATTTATATATACTACTTACAATCATTTCCCTTTTATTGGTAGTTAATTTAGTTTTACTTTTCTCAGTAATACCTTCAGCATAGCATGTTGCAGATTTTGTAAAATAAATAAATTTAATAAAAAAATTTTTTTCGTTACATTCCAAAGTTATTCAATTTAATTCGTAAAACTTTTTTAATTATATTTTAAAAATCTAACGCCTATTGTACAAATGTGGAAAATTGTATTACTTTGTTGCTATACCCAATATTTAATATTATATTTATAAAATATTTCAAAATTCACGATCTGAATACATGTTTTCGCATTTATACTCGTATATCTAATACATATAATGACTATGTATTCAATAAACATTGGAATATCTTGATTTGTGTTTTTTTTCCTTCTTTAACGAATACTCACTCAAGATTTTTAAGAGATCTTATATAGTTAGGTTAGGGTTTTTTTTTTATTTATTATTATAATTTCCATTTTTATAACTATCTATAGTAATATTATAATACTTCCTTGTCGTCGAGTGAGCGAATAAAATGAATCGAACGAATGTCTTCCAATCGTGATAAATCAAACTATATTTCGTTATTTAATTATATTATTATCTTATCTCTTTTAAAAATGAGCCATGCGAATGTAATAAAATATCCTTTTAAATTCAACGAAGAATATTTGTAATCTCGTCGATTGAATAACTTCACGTCACTTTTACGTGTAAATAATAGACCCTTCATTGTAAATTTTTGTTTCCTTTTTACATAATTAATTTTAACATCTAATTATGAATTATGCTTATCTTCAATATATAAAAGCTTAGTACTTATATTATAGTTTACGAATTATGTGGCTTTATTGTTTTAAAGTCCTGATAAAAGAATGTGCTGACGGTCCGGGAATCATTAATCTCCGACGAATGTGTACTTCACTGTCTTTCTTGTCAGCTCATCTAAACTTATTAATCCGTTATTATATCATACATATTTATCTACTTACTTGATACTTCATTTGGACCGTTATTTACTAAGTTAATTCTCATGAATTTATATTCATGTTTAAAATATATTTGTATACTGAAATGGAAAACAGCCAACAATTCTTCTTAATACAAAATTATTTTACTCATATACAAATAAAATTTCAAAAGTGATGAAATTTACTGAGTACAAACAAATCTGCGAAGAAAATTTAATTTAAATAATATGTTTAATAATATTACCTATTATTACATTTTAAAAATCTGGGAAAAAACTTAATTTAAATAATACGTTTAATAATATTACCTATTATTACATTTTGGATAGCTCACATATTTCCGCCCCTCTTTATTTTTACTTATCATAAGACAAACTACGATTTTAGATACGTTATGTATTAATATGCCATTATATACGTTCAAATAATTATTTCAATAACCGATCCATTTCATCCGCCGTTATAGTATGAAGTTAACCCACAAAGTAAACAAAAAGAAATACAAAATTAGCAGTTTCTTTAGCAGTTACTATATTTTTCTTGTAAAACTGACTGGTGAAAAAAAAATCGTCCGCCTAGTAAAAAGCGGCTCCCTTATTCGTACCATGACGATAGCTAATATAGCGTAGCGCTGAGACGATCAGTTGTGTAAATTCATAGTATCACATAATATTGTTTTTATAGTGCGATCAGAATTTTTTACAATATATGAATTTCGCATTAAAAATAAAACGTTCGTCCTTTTAAAACGCATAATAAACATATTTTTACAACTTTTTCATAATTCATGTTTCATTATTTTTGTGTACCTCAGTACTTGAGAAAATTACTGTGACATGAAGATTCTGGTTGTCCTGTATATTATTATACACATACATACGAATTCGGGGCCTGCCTGTACGTATAGGTAAGTGTCCGGTGACGACCACGGAAACTAAAGAAAAAAAAACTGTCATAATATTATATAGCGCCGTTCGAGACTTAATGGGTTTTTGCACCCGCAACGTTTTATGTAATATAATAATAATATAGTAATAAACACTGCACCGCGACTCTTTTACACTTGCTGCCTCCGCTGTTGCTGCAGGTAACAGAGGTAACCTCCGTGAAACACGCGCCAAAGATATTATAAATATTACGTACCTACGCGCGAACGTGTATTATATAAATATTATTATTATTATACGAGCTCGGGTTTCCATATCAGCACTCTATATTTACGCGCACGAAAGAATAATAAGGCGCATTATATTATATTATTATTATTATTATTATATTATATATACGAGAAGAGGCGAGCATCGTCGACGATCCATTTCATCGTTTTGTGCGGCAGATACCGCGCGAACGTGCGTCAGGACGATTTTTGAACGCGTCGCTGTGTTTGCTTGTGATCTTTACGCGTATATTTTATACAATCACCTATGTATCGTAGTACCATTAGAAAAACGCCAGAGGAGGATGTAAACTGCTGCAACTGTTTGCGTGCTTTGGTTTTTTTTTTTTAAAAATCGAGAAATGTATTTGTTCTCCTACGATGTGTGCTTTTTTTTTGTTATGGTATCTGTGAACAACTTTTCTGGCGTAAGGAAAAATCCTCCGATAAATCAATTAAATACAATACTAAGTCTTTCTTTTGGAAACATTTAGAAATACTTAAATACTTCTACTTATACACTTTACGAGTACAATAGTAAAATATTGTTTCGTTAAATTCGGTGGCGTTACGGACCACAGGCTGTGAACGATAGTTATTACTATTTTCATACTGGCTAATTATGTATCGGATATTTAATAATGATAATCAATGAACATATAAACTAATATTTTAATGAAACCGAAGATGTTTTACATTTAATCGCATATAGAATGATTGTGATCGATTAGTCGCCTATTTGTTTCCGAATCTAATACAATAAACATAACTACAGTTTAGAAAAATGTAGAGTATGATAATTATTTCGAATAAAACAATATAATTAGTATTATTTCGGCGAATGGAGATTGTTAACAACTTGTTACTCTTTTTATTTTACGTTATTAAATTAATTTGAACGTATTTGTTAAAAATCTCATACTCTGAAGAATTAATATTATGAATATCTCGTACACAATATATTAAGAATACCATATATTATTATAGTTTAATTTACTAAAATCATGATTGCGTAAAATCAGAAACAATCAATAGTAAAATTAAGTTTTAATGGTCTTTTGTTAATTTATAAACGAACTTACTTTCATTTAGTTCATAAACGCCTCAATGTATTTGAAATGAACGTTCCGAGGTTTTTTCATAATACGGATACAATATACTCATAGACCTAATTGCAATCAATGAAAATCCGTTTTTATTTAGTTGTTTGTTCTGTACATTGTAGCCCATAATATTATGTACATAGTGCTCACAAACTGCAAAAAAAAAAAAAAAAAGAAGAACCAATAAAATAAAATGTACTTCGCCACCGCCGTCAATAAAAACCAACCAACAACTATAATGGTATTGTTAAATTATACATTATACAATCGGCCGAACTTAAGTGAAATATAAAACTTTATATTGAAACAAATTTTTTTCTCTGACATTTTTTAGATTTTAAGTGGAGCAAGAAATGTATTTTTTTTTACCATGATGCATGCTTCTTATTATTTTTTTGTTTTTGAACTATGTTTTAGTGGAAATTTTGTTCCAATAAAAAAATAACACATTTTTTTTGGCAGATTTGGAAAATTCCTAGTGCAATGAGGAGGTCATTTTTTTAAATTTTTTCATACATTTTCATAATAATTGGGAAACCCCCCCACCAAAAAAAAAAAAAAAAAAAACCATGAAAAAATTTACGAAAGAGAATAGATTTGTAATATCTATGCAGCAGCAAAACGTCGCATGAATTAGATAAATTTGGCCTCTGTGATTTGGCTACTATTTAATATATTTTTTATTTTTCGTAGTTTTTGTAAATATTAAAAAAAAAAAAAAAAAAAACTTTAACTACAATTATGTTGTTATTTACAAAAAATACAAAAAAACAAAAAAAATATTAAAAAGTAACCAAATCAGAGAGGCCAAATTTATCGATTGCATGGGGCGTTTAGATGTGCCATAGAAAATGTGCAGCGTTTTACAGTTAAAGTAAGTCAGACATTAACGCTGTGTCTCAAATTTTCGTCAAATCAGAGAGGCCAAATTTATCGATTTCATGCGGCGTTTTGCTGCGGTATAGAACATAAAAATCTATACTACTTACAAGTTTTATTGTGTTCGATTTGTTCGGTTTTATTTTTCTGCCAAAAATTACGCTTCGAGTTTTAAAAGTACTACATAAAAGATAAAATTTTTGAATGTCTGTGTTATTTTTTTAATAATTTTGTAAATTTTTGAGTTTTTTTTTTATAACTTGGTTACACATTATAGTCTTGGTTATCTGGCATATCCATAAAATATTTATAGTATGAATATTTTTTATGTTTGTAAACAATTTTAAAACATTCTAGCGATTTTTGAGCTATTTATGCTTTATAGTCATATTATATTATGTAGTTTTTAAATTTTTATTCTGTAAGTATGTAGGATAAAGTGTTTAAATAAACAAAAATGCTTGACAATTTAATATTAGGTTAACTAAAAGTTGTACTTATAGTGACCATAAGCAAACAAAAGTTGAACTTATATTGTTAGGTTTTTTATAAGCGTTTTAAGCTTAAATTTTGACGGAACTCGTAAAAATGCCGTCATTTCTATACACAATATTTTTTTCATACTGTTATTTTTTTTTGTTTCGGAAAATCCCATAAATACTACTAGGGATTTTCCTTTATTTTGACATGACAGGTTCATATAACATATTATTTTTTAACCGCAAATATTTATAGATTTGAATTTTTTTTTTCAAGTATTATTTATTTATAAAATAATGTTTTTAACAAATTTAGTGTATATAAGATGAATATAATAATATTTAAACAGTTTGTTTTTATCTCATCGCTCATAAATTTTAAGCGGAATAAATTATTTACAACTGCAGGAATACAAACTCAAGAGCTGCCACAGCAAAATATAATATCATAACAGGTATATTTTTCATTAAAACTTTTTATACCTGCAAAACAGATGTTTTAAAAATTATTTTCACTACCACTGTATAATAATATACATCAGTTGTACACTATATTGTCCACGTGCAGGATATTAAAAACATTTTGTAAGTATATATAAAGGACAATAACAGGGATTCTGAAGAAAAACTATTATTATTTTTTTTTTTAAATTTTGTCAGAAATATATAATATACATAGTATATCATTATGTATACAATTTGTATACCTATTGTGTTTCTGTTAAGTGTTTCAACGAGATGCATACGAACACTACTATTGAGTAATTAAAGTATAATAATTTCAAAAAAAATAAATTATTTTTTTCATCTTGAAACATTTTATCCGAGAACAAAAATTTAATAATAATAATATTATAAATTGTCGTTGTTTGTTAACGGCTCGCTGTTAGATATTCACTTCCTATTTGATAATATCCGCGAAATATTATATTACCTTGCATATAATATCCACTACGTTGCAAGTCTTTAAATAATGCATTTACTCATTTTCTCTCGTCGTACACCACCGCCATAGCACAAATACACACGTGCGCTCCATATTACTGTATATAATATGACTCGGGAGATAAAGCGAAAGTTTTCGGATGTTTGTCTTTCGTTAGTGCTACTCCTCCAAACTATGTACCTACATACAGGAATTTCCAACCCGTGAAGTTATTCGTATGGTTAAAATATTATTATATACCGAGCGTATCTCACCGAATTGTATAAATTATTTGTACCGTACAAAAGTTTTTGGTTGGTCCACTGTAACCAACGTTTTATACTATATGTATACATATATATATATATATATATATATATATTAATGCAAATCGTCGCTTTTATATATAAATTCGTATATGAACTTAATATATCACAATATCTATAAAAATTTAGTTTTTACTTTTATCGATTTGGAATCGAGAGTATCGGGAAAAAACTTACGTTTAGCACTGTGCGATAAAACAAATTAATTGTTCGAGAAAAAATGCGATAGAGAATCGTTGAAAGTTTTTGAAATTCATCTTCGATTTTGTACTATTTAAAATCATTTATTTACATTTAACCTTACCTTAATGATATATTTTTACCCCAGATCTACCGCCCGATACTCATTTCAAGGGAATGGACGATATTGACGTTTTAGACCGGTAAACAAAGTTGCTAAGAAAAACTACTTAAATAACATATTCGTGACCGATTTTTTTATAAATTGTTTTTCTCAACTCTTTCTGAAACGTGTAATTGTGGCAGGCATATTTTAGGTCTGGTCTTTTGTGCGAACTTTCTTACTGCATTCTGAAGCTGTAGATCGTTGTTACCACGGACTTGTATTTTAGAACGCGTGTGCGACGCGTACATGTTGTTTATCTTGCGTCTCGTTAATTAATATAAGGAAAACGGTCGGCTGTGGGTGAGAAATTGCCGACAGTGCGAAATCCGAGTGGAAGTGGATACATTGCACTTGCACGCACACTGGCAACTCGAAATATAGCTTTGTGCTGACAAAACACAAAATAACGACCGGCCTTTATGATAATTAAAGGCCATCCCCAGATCTGATATTCCATTATAAATCCACTTTTGTTAATTATTTTTAAACGAAGACAGATTTATTATAACGTTTAACCGCACGGTGTTACAACCACGCGTGCTGCAGCAGTAGGCAGCAGCAACAGAGGGCGAGGGAAATATTATTTTAGGTAGGTATACTGTAGGTACGAATACGTAGGTATAATATGACCTACGTTCCGGAACGAACTGTTTATTAATTAAAAGAAACTTATTTACAATATTATAATATAATAATAATAAAATGTACCTAGACACATACGGCTTTTGGTTGCCAGGGACATTTTTCAATTATCTTTTCGTTATAAACATCCCGGTCGTGGTTTTTCCTCATGTGTAATACCTTTGGTTAGCGGTCGTAAATATTATAATACTTCTACCGCTGACTAATACGATATAATGCACAGGTGAGCAGGTGATAGGTAAACATGGTGTGTGAATGACTGGGCATGCAAATGTTCCCACAGTTATCACCGGTAAAACACGATTAAGAGTATTTGTAATATTTAAGAAACACCATTGATCGGATCAATAAACAAAATAGCGTTTGATACTTAATATATTAATGGCTTAGCGTGGGCTACAGCCACCATAGTATAATATAAAACTATTTGTAATTTTTGTTTAAAATTAATCTAAAACCGAACACTGTACGAAAACATTTTGTTTTTTTTCCGAGTGGATCGCCGCTTTATTCTCTACTGGATTTTTTTTTTTAGTCGTCAGTTTCGTCTCGGTGACTCTTTGTTATCGCACCAATGATGACATTGTTTTTGAAAAAAAGAACTATTATGTAAAAGTCGAGCTTCCGTTTAAATGTCATACGAAAAAAAAAATGAGTAATAGTATCTCTTTTATTGTAAGGCTCACAAACACAGTGTAAAGGATATAAAATCAATTCAAAAAATATATAATATCTTTTGATTTTAATCGCCACATCGGATAAAGGCCAATTTTAAAGGGACTTGCGGGAATGACTCGTTCTTATCATTAGGCCGTGAATACAATATAATGTATTCTAAAAACAACTATAATATATAATGCCAATGCCCAACACGTCATTTTTTTTTTTACTTTTTTCGGGAGAGTACAGTGATGGTGTATATACGAGGCGTACGGTTTTTGTTCTGAAAAATGACGAATTGTTATTATGACTAGGTTTTTTTTTTTGATTATACTACCGAGTACGGCCACAGCGTGTATTTAAATTATTATACCCCTAAAACATAGATGTAAAATGGGGAGGTCGAGTTCTTTTCGAGGAAGTGCGGCAAGTTGATTTTTGATTTGTTTGTAATAATTATGACCTTGAACACTATTTATTTTCTTGATTTAAAAACTCCAGGTCATTTGAAGAATCCTAGATTTAAGGTGATTTATCTGTGAGTAAATTTTCGGAAACTATTTCAGCTATATATTTAGAATACTGTTTTATTTTTTTGTAACCATAACTTCACTTCCTCCGAATTAAATGAGTACTATAACATAACTTATTTTGGAAATATAGAAGTAAGTCATGAAGTAGTGTCGAAAAGGACTAAAATGTTTCGTGTAACCAAACTATATACACGCTGCACTCAGATATACAACGTTAGCAGTTGTAGTTTGCTTCGATATGGCATAGAGTGTGCCTTTGAAACATATACAATAATAATAGTATAATACATAATGCCGTATAAGAAAATATTTGAGTGGAAAAAAAAATAATGAAAGAAAATTTAAGCCTTTTATTGTGCATATAGTCAAGAGCGCGTTAATGCACCCGACAGAAAACTTTAACGGTCTCAAAATCGAACGCGGACAAATGTATAAAACGGCGATTTATAATACTTATATACTTATATATAGGTACCTACTATACAGAGTGTTTCATTAATATTGAAACATGAAATTTATCAGACCGATGGATGGTTCAAATTGAAATGTGGTCTTTTTAAGGAAGTACTAAAATACACAATTTGATTTTATGCCAATTTTTACAACATTATGTGTGATTTTAAAATAGGTATATATTTTTTCCCCATAAAACAGTAGTCAAATTGAGAATTGTTCGAAATTTTCAATTGTTTGAATAAATTGTGATTTTTAATCTACTTTTTAAACAGCTCAGGCAATTTTTTGGATTAAAACAATCCGAGTTATTTAAAATAACTTGAAAAAAATTAATTGGAATATACGATTATGATGCTAAAAAAAAAGAGCTGATAATGAGGACGGATTTGCTATTGTTGTAGATGGGAAGTTGAGAAGGTAGGCTACATAAAGTAATTTAATATATACCTATAAGTAAAAAAAAATCTTATATTACACTCAATTATTATTTGTTTGACCGCTAAGTACGACATTAATTGAAACTCCTATTATATTTTCAAGCATTTCTGTTTAGTCTAACAATTTTATTTATAGTTGAGTACGTACCAAATAAAAGTTACTAATAGAATAGGCAAATTAAAATGTCTACAAATAACTTAAAAATAACTCAAATGTGTTTAAAATTTCACTACGTCTAGAAAAAGCAAAATATAAGTTTTATGTTATAATTTCAAGTTTCTATAAATATTTTTAACTGAATAACATTAAAAAAACAAAATATAAAATAATAAAAGAATTTTTTTCATATATTTTCTCGTATTTTCTATGTGTTTTTCAGTTTTGCTTAATTATTTTTAATTTCAAAGAAAATAATAAAAAAAATTATTTTCTTATTCTTCATTGAGATTAAAAATGCAACAATAAATAGCTCATGTTGTTCTTTTATTGGAACAATTTTGCTGGTGGAAAATATGTGACGTAAAAGTTTAAATTATAGGAATCATAACCCCGTAAATTGTTTAGTTTGTATTTTTATTATTTTTCTTCGGTTTTCTCTCGATCTTAAGAAACAAAAATCAATCTTATTTCAATTTGTGTCTATTCAGTTGAAATATTTTTTTTAGTAATCATTAAATGAAATATACTGTATACTTTTAGTGTACGTATTATAGATAACCTAATCAGTTTTCTAACGTTGGCGTTTTATATCGTATTGTATATGTTTAACCCCCGTCGTATATTTTTGCGGAAAATTTCCATTTGCGTTAGGTATCCAGTAATTTAATAATGTACGAAAATTACATCCAAGCCGATGTCTCGAAGGCAATTTAACATTGTAATTTCGTATGTATGCGTGGGCGCCAGGAACCGCCTTGTACAGTATATAATATGATTTATAGTTGAATTTTTTGCCGACGACATAAAAATAAAATGCAATGCTCGTGGATTTTTCGTCGAATTTACCCCTTAAAATATTGAGACTATTCCATTGTATTGTGTGTTTTATACGTATTGCTGGTACTTTTGGACATTTTTAGCGTCTACCTAGTCCCACTGGACCAAAAACGAGCTTAAACTCGAGAATTATAGAGTTATTTTGTTGGTGGTTAAAAGTAATAAAACTCGTGTTGAATTTTAATATGATTTTTGCTGCCATAGAGGAGTGGTTTTATTTATTTTTTAACACCTTCAATATGGACTTACAAATTTACTCAGGGGAACGGCATTTGTATATGTATGGCGTAAGCGTATTTATGGGTATTAGTGTATTATGATACTATGATACATCATTTAGGGATTTCAAATTTCAAGCCCTATGCTTACTATTTTATTTTTATTTTTTTTTTGGAAATAATACACTATAGATATATTTGCGGTTATTTGTTGTTTTTCAAATTATATTTCTATAATATAAAATATGTGCTCCTTTAGTCTCTACTGCTCTTGGGTGTTTTTTTATGTTTATTATTATATTTTTGAACGCTTGGAGGTAATAAATTGGAATTTTAAAGGCGTGTAAAGTGCAGGAAACTGCAGTAGGAAGAGCTAGAGCAGCAAGAATGCTGAAAAAAATAATCGTATTCTAGAAATGAAATTGGCTGCGTGAGCCGATTTGACAAGGACGGGGACGAGTGTCGTTGTGGTGTAGTTGGAATGATGGACCCTCATATAGTCTTATTATTATTATTATGTTGGCTCGTGAAGACTATTTTTTCTCCCTAATATTTACAACTGCGTTTTGGAATGAAGGGGAGAAAAAAAGGCAGTGGTAAATGATGATAAACCCGCTCAGTGCTATACCGTACCGTGGATATTCAAAAAAAAAAAAAAATAATATAAAAAAAAAACATAATAAACAACATCAAAAAACGTAATCGGGCGTTGTTATATTATCATTGAGGTTCGGGTAAAAGCAATAAACCTCTGTAATGTGTCTTCGTGCTCTATTCCGATTTCTCGGCGGGTATTCAACGACGTCACGTGCGTTTACAGACATTAAAATCGCTTTTTAACGTAATAGCGAATTTTTTTTTAACGTTTTATTTATTTTGCGTCGCTGCAAATCTCAAAGCGTGACTCGATACATAAGTCTAACTATATAGAACTATTATTAACTATAGTAAATTCCCCTTCCACACCTTTTTTCAGACGAAAAATCAGATGACCTAAACGAAAAGTAGGGTATTTGGAAAAGAAAAAAAATTTATATCGTAGATAACGTATTAGGTTATATTATCATGATTATATTTGACTACTATGGTTGCCCATCGACCAATGATAAAGTCTATACGGAATTGAATTCATCGGTTTTTGAAAAACTTATCACTCTGTGCTATTTTATTTTACTAATGTAATATCAAATGTGCTAGTATTAATCGTTGGTATCCATAATTTCGTTTTAAACTCAATTAATTAATTTTAAAACTCGACATTCTCTTATACTGTCATACAATCATTTGCAGTCTAGAAACTAGCTTATCATAGGGCGATGAGCAATTATAATAAATATAATCGCGCACGATTATAATAAATAATGTATTTATGCAATATGTATTTTAACCGTGGTATTATTTTTGATATAAATCAATGCTTTTCGTGGAAACGAATATAAACTATTTATCTATTTTCTTCTCAGAAAGTTTATTTTGTCAAAGTTGTCTGACTGATTGTTCCTCAGTGAGCAGTCCTTTATAGTTAGTAGTTCTATGAATCTAACCATTTTTATATAATAAATTTTAAAAAAAAAATAATTTTTGATATTTCCATAATCGTGAGGTCGGATGCGAGTAATACAGTGAAAAGACATGCGCTACTGTTATGTTGTCAAAAGTGCGTCAAATGACCGGCCGACTACACAATAATCTGCTCGTAACCAAAGAGCCGGATGAACAATATTTTATGATGCGATTGGTCTGCCTGTCCTAGCGAAAGATATTTAATTTTGAACACATAGTAATTCTCTCGTTTTTTTGAGATTTTTCAAACCATCACGTCGGTTATTATTTTTTTTTTATTATCATTACGTTTACTTCGTGTTCCGGTTGCTACAGCAATTTAGCACTTATAGTTGTAAAATTTATTCCCACATTTTATTTGAAATTATCGGTTCTGTGTAATAAACGCTTCCGCAAATTGTGTTTATCGCGATGGTTCTAAAAGTGTAAACGTTCTATTTCCATTGGAATTCGTAGCAGCATGTGCTCAATATGGGAAGAAACCCCTTTCCCTGTTACGATATATAATATTATTCTAAACCGTTTATTTAACAATCGCATTATTTTAAGTTCACCCAATCGGCGGAGCACGTTATTATTATTTTGTAAATACCAAAATGGTACCATCTGTTTTATAATATTGTATAATCTGTGCTGTACACCGTGTAGCACTTGCAATACAGTGCAATTAATGTTATGGAGATTCCTTTCTAATTGTTTTCTGCTGGCACGCATAAACGTTATTCCACACGCGGTAATATTTTTAAACTATCGTATTTAATACCTTCTAAAACAAAAAGGAAAGGCAGATCGATTTTGTTCACGCATAAGAGTAAATTTGTTTAATAGTTTAAATTTGTCCACTCTTATTATAACGTTTTATTTTTCTCGAGGATATCGGCCACTAGAACCATTATAGTCATACGTCCAAAACTCCCTTTTAGTCGCCATTGATTTTTAATTTAATTTAGAGATTTTATGTTTTTTTTTTCACCGTCAAATCTACTAATCTTAAAAGCGGTCTTTATTATTGCACGATTCTCTTCCTTCACCAGGTGTAAAAATGGATTCTGATTTCACTAAATGCACCATTGAAATCTTTAACTTTTAACTATAGCGTTTATTATGTTATTTTTTCGTTTATTTTTAAATAAACGTAAATAAGCGTATCTTTTCTATAATAACCCATTGTTCCGTCGTCATGAAATAATATTAGTGCACGTAATTTTAAAAATATTTTCATTCCTGTAATGTGGGCGTGATTTTTACGTGAAAATTGTCTGAACAAGTTTCTGTTGTAGACTGCAGCGTGCATTATAATGTTAAAGAGATATAAATTACGAAATTAGGCTACCTACTGCCCTTGTTAGAATGATTAACCAAATTATCAGAAATGGCTCCTGACGATTATCTGGTGGTACACCGGATTAGGTTTAATTGTGAAAATTAACGCCTGTGATATTTAACCTGCTGGTAAAATTTCACTGGACAATATAAAATATTATAGATAAAATAAAGTATTAAAACATCAACACATGTATTCAAAAGTTTTGGTTTATAAGGTTTCGAGTTGTGGATCCTAGTTGGAATCCTCCAAATGATTTATGCCATTTTTATGTTTTTGTTTTTATTTTTACCGTGCGTCATAACACATAGCTTTTCTATCATTAACTATAATAATATTCAAGCACGTTCATCAGTTATAGTTCATTGCACAGAAATTTTAACTCGGGTATCGGCAGAGGAGGAGGAGTAAAATTTCATTAGTGACCCCCTTATAATATTTTACCGAACGGGTAGAATACCACGTGGACAACCATCATAATATTATGTAGATGTCAATGTGTACGCCCGGTGGGCAATATTAAACATAACCCACCAAACACGAAAGTGGGAATCAATCAATTCCCCCGGATTTTCCGTATAATAACACGCGTCACGACTACATCGCTATAATAATACTATACTCGCGGTATATTGATAATAACGATAATATTCACCGCGCCGTGTATTAAAATAATAATATTATGACGACGGTTAGGCTCACTCCCGTCCTCTGACGGACACGCGACGTTGCGGAACGGCGAAAATTATTTACATTTTCGTGGGATGTCCGCGTCCGCTGAGTGCCGATTCATGTCGCCGCGTCCAGCGCTCGACAGCCGCGAGTCGTCGGCCGCTGTCCGTCACCCGCGGGCACTTACGGGGTCACTTACGCCGAGGTAACCCCGAAAGCGATGGTTTTTTCGTCCACGGCCATAATACGGTGAGTACACCTACTGATGTACTCCAGAAACCCAAATGTGTAATAATAATATTACATTATTATCGTAATAATATTCTCGGCAGTCATTTCCGAGTCTGAGTGGCTATCCGTGTTGGCCCAACGCCTAACGCCCCCTTTCCCTTACGACCGTCCTTGTTGGGTCGACAGTGCAGTAATAAAATATACGTGGACGATATACATAATATTGTTATGTATACAGAGCACTCGAACTCGCATATTATTATAATATTATTATAAGGTTTCTCCGGACACGACCGAAATGTCAGATTGTCATGGGACGAAGCACATTATAATATTATTATAAACGTATATATATATATATATATATATACTGTGGTCGCCGCTTATTGAACTCACTTTGAGACTTGACCATTTGAGTCCATTAACCGAATGAGTCAATTAGGTGAATGACCCCCAAAAAAATTTAAAAAATGCTTAAAATTAAAAACTTGTTCACTTAAAAAATATTTATTGAGATTCGAGGTATGTATAATAGGTTAGCATCAATCACTTTGATCACATTCTTTCTCATGCCTTTTCTGTAATATGCTTTAAAAGTGCTTATAATCTCCTGATCACACGGTTGTATGATTGATGTAGTGTCAAAGAGTAAAAATACGAGGTTAATATGTTTGTGAATTTCACTGTAACCACATGAGTCGTGCATTTATCAATTAGCAATAATACGTTATGACGAATTTCATTGTCCCACTTTGTCAGCCATTCGGTGAAAATTTCTTTTGTCATCCATGTATTACTGTTTGCAGTATAGTCTACTGGTAGATTCTTAACACCCTTGAAACACCCGGGATATTTACTTTTCCTAATGGCAAGTAGTTTTCTCTTTTCATCATCCATACTTACACAACATAATACGGTTAGACGTTATTTACTAGTTTTAGTTCATCTAGTTTTTTCATTTTTGAACATATACGTATGTTCAGGTAATGCCCTGAAATAAATTCCAGCTTCATCCACATTGAACACACAAGACGGAGGATATTCAGTGATACGAGATGGCCAATCTGAATGAATCCACGATCGTATAGCTGTGTGGTCTATTTCTCCCTGTTCTCCATGTGGCTTAATGAACGAAATGTTTACACGTTCTTCCATCGGTGAAGTCAACCTTCTGTTGCCACAAAATCATTTTGTGCCCATTTTTTTCGCGAGATCTTCGGCTTAATGGCACAACAGTGGTCCTTTAACTCGGGCATATTTTTCTCTAACTTTTGTAAACCATTGTTTCAAAGCGTCTTCAATTTCTTCTTTGCCGACCCTTTTTCTTTTACGATTTGAATTTGCTAATAATGAATTTTCGATTTCCCGTCGATTTTTCAGCTTTCTACACAGTAAACTTTGAAGCATGTTCAACTTACATGCAGCTTGTTGCTGACTCACTTTCGGAAGCTCGTCATAATTTTTAAGAACATCTAATTTTTCTTCCACACTTGTATACGAACGAAAAATAAAAATTTGTATAGAGAATATAAACACAGTCAACACACTGAACACGACGTCGTCTATTCATATACTACCTATCGTATAACACAATACGTATTTATTGATATCGACGACTGCTTGGTTTATCGTGAAAAGGTAATTTATTTTATCTCCGCAATAAAAGCAAAATACTGGTACCGACTTATATTACATTTATAGCACATTTGTTCAATATATGTTCAAATTTTCTTTATTTATCTAATTTTAAATTGACCCTATTAACTGGTATGTAAGTCAAATAGACGAATATTTTTCTGTGCTTTAGTATATGTGCAAATTGGGACCAGCCATTTTGAGTCTTATATGCGAATCAGTCAATTAATCGCGAGTCCAATAAGCGGCGACCACTGTATATATATATATATTTACTTGATCAATTTATATTATATAGTATACGTTTGCGAATAATATTATGTATATATACTGGGTAATTCTTTTATCATGAAAATATCCGTTTACCAATATGGCTATAGAAAAATATGGGAATATGGAACAAAAATTTACTTTGATATGATTCAACAAGAGACTTCGTGAAATGTGCGGGGAACTTTCTTTAAGTGCGTCAAGAATCATACGATGATAATTGTAAAATTGTTGTTCTATCTACTGCACAAAATCTTCTAAGATGACGGACGGTCTCTCACTCCTTTCTTCGTTATGAGTGTCGGCACGGCCTTCTATAAATAACTTAACCTACTTGGTAACATGCTGATGTATCATTACCTAGGATACATAGCTTCCCATTAGCTGGCGACGAACTCTGGCCACGGATTCATTACGCAAAATAAGGAACCGGACAACAGAGAAAATTTCACACCCGCAAACTAGTTGCTGCGTTTGGCTGCTGTAACAACTTTTCGTAACTGAGACATCAAAATAAAAAAAAAAGCAAGCTTATAATTCCGAAATGCATTTCACGTCCTATATCGATTTTATATACATTATTTTGCATGTTTTAGCGTTTTTGAATTTTTCAGGTATATTTTTGGGATGTCGTAAATTTCTAGACCATATTTTTAACACGTTTTTACTATTGTTGTTATTATTTTCCGAATGTATATTTTAGTATTTTTACTGGATGTCTGCCTATATAATATATTTTTAAAGGTTTTCAGGGCATATAAATAATAACCGTCTTATTAATAACATTATAATTTACTACAGTCATTCGTGAGCGAGTATCTATGTAATATTTAATATTATAATAACTGGCAGTTGGATGTATTCCAAATTTCCATCGTGACGATATTCACCGCGGTTTAATAAACCTCGCTGTCATCGTAATATGTGTATTTTTATATCGTTTCATACTCCTTTCGGTCGGTCAAAAACATCCGTAGATCCGACACTATACATAGATAAGTCATTTTTTTTTTTTTATGACGGTTATTTTCTAAATTGCTCCGACCCGTCAAAAATAACATTTGCTTTTATTACTCCCTAGTACGAATTCAACCATTTTCTTTTATGCGTGTACATATTTCAATTTTAAACGATGCTATTGCAACACACGCACACAATATGCAACCGTTAAAAAATACATTTATTAGTCAGTTTCTGGAGTATAATGATAATTATTTTTTCACAACTACGACGTGCGAAATAACAATGCAATAATATCTATATTTAAATCAGTTTTTAGCGTATTCGAAATTTTTGTTTAAATCGGCCAGGAACAGTTTCACATTATTACGTTTATTCGTTATTTGCATATAGGGTCTTCCTTATTGTATAAAAGTTACAGAGCGGTTTTAGCAGCGCAGAATAATACCGCTACTCCGAAACCATCGGATAACATATTATACTCCGATACGGCCCTGTATACGAACATATTTAAACGAAATGTTATATTTCCGCAGTTTAAGAAATGTAACTGTACTATCGGATACGACGTTATTACGTTTCGTTTCGTAATTTTAAAATGTAATATCCGTGTGCAGTGTGGTTCGAGGTTCTGCCTAATCTATTATATTGCTAGCGAAATTAAAAAATATATTCGTAATCGAAATTTTGACTTATACTTTAAGGGACATGTAGATTGAATACATTGTTTTTAGATTCTGAGCGTTGTGAAGTATGTAAGTATGAGTTGCCTTGGTATACCAAGGCCATTATTGGAAAATAATTTCGGTGTGGGAGGATTACCATTTTCCGTGTTCTAACTTTGTTAAGATATTTTTTGGTAATTGTAACTAATTTTTTATAAACATATTTTTGGGGTGAGATTGAAATGTTGAATTCCTGTTCCCTTCTCCGTCATGTACGGTATTGGGTTTTATTGTGATGTGTGCGGTTTTTTTGTTTATGTCTTTGAACAACAGCAGTTTTGCTCCGATCTAAAACCTACAAAAGAGCCTTGCCGAAGAATATTAGTTTTAGTTATTGTATGAAGAAGGTTATTTTTTGATTTTACTCATAGTTGTGAAAAACTGGAGGGAAATGAAAAAAAAAACAAAAAATGAAATAACTTACGGCAATAACGTTTCATTATTTTCGCCTTTATTTGTTTGTTGCAATTCTATTAAAATAATCGTAGAGATCTGACTTTTTTTAAAGGATGATTATATTAATCTTTTATAGACATTTAAAATTTTTTTAGAATTATTCATAGAGATTTGACTTTATCAGGTTTTTTTTAAATATCGTATTTGTTTTATGTGGATACAATTTTTTTTAGCAAAACAAAAATGCTGGGTAGTTTAAGACATGGTTCATTATAAGTTGTACTTAGTGACAAAATAAAAATGGGTATAATGTTGCACTTTATTTTTATAAGTAATTTATTAGTTTCAAATTTGGACGGAAATCGTGAAAATACGGAATTTCATAACATGATTACCAAATTTCGCTCAGAATTTTTTTCCGTTAGCAATGATATATCTTACACACATAATTTAAATAATGATTTGCATTTTATCTTCTTGACTTGTCACCTATAACAGTGGCATACCCATTTGCTGTATCAGATCTTTTATTTACGATTTATATTAAATTTATTTAATTTTTAATTTTTAAATTATGGACTAATAATATTGTTTGTGACATGTTTGTAAATGTTTTCAAAGTTGAACGAGAATATTTTAATAATAAGTGTTGCCTTTTTGATATACTTATACACGGTTAGTGATTTAGATTTAGTTGACATTTTAAGAAAGTATCTTATCGCCACCGTTTTAGTTATTAATTATGATAATAAATTAATGAATACATATTATGGTAGTATAACGACGTAGGATAACCAATATTTGTTATGATAATAAAATATAATCTAATATTTAGGATCATAATTCGAGAGAAATAAAGCCGATACTATATTATTATACCGTATCGTAGCGATCGAGTGTGAATTTTCACGCTAGAGGCTTTTTCGTTAATTGAAACATCTGCGTAATGATAAAATGGAATATTTTTTTATTTGAAAAATCCTCGATTATGTAATGCAAGATTTTACAATAACTTTATAAAATGCTCGTTATAATATTATCAGTATCATTGTTAAGTTAACGCGATTATTAAAAACGTTTTTTTCAACCTGGTTGTTATTTATAACAAACCGCAAAAGTTTGCACCGTTATAAATATCAACATTTTAATTTCTGAATAACACTTATCAGATTTTGAGCTCTAAAAGGAATGTATTGACTCCGTTATTTATTTATTTTTTTACCAGAAATATTGCTCCGGTTTTCAAAAGACGTTACTTTTCTGAAAGCCAATTTTGTCTAGATGATTTTTTCTTGTTTCATTTTTTTTATTTTTCTTGTATTTTTTTAATAATTGAAAAATAACGTTGGGAACATGAACAAATAGTTTTTATTACTTCGATTTTGATTTTTTTGTCTTGTGATTCAGTAAAACAAACTTTGGTTAAAACCTAAAATTTGCGTGAAATAGTTATATCAAATACTGGAGATTTTTTAGCTATTTATAGACATTTGAAATTTTAGAGTTTTTATTTGGATAAAATTGTTTCGGGAAAATAATTCTTACTTAAACATTTAATATGGAGTTTTCATTAAAAGTTTTACTTAAAGTAAAAAAAAAAAAATAAGCGTTTTATTGAAGTTTTTATTATAAGCATTTAAAGTTAAAACTGTAACGATTTCCTATTGTAAAAATTACGGCATTTCAATATATTTAAAACGAAACTTCGCTCAGAATCGTATTTTACAAAGAAATGTTTATCGTTGCGTACAGACAAAAATTAAATAAATCTACATGTACCTATCCTAAACATTCCTGATATTTTTAAATTACATTTTACGACCAGTGAGAATATCCTGGACAAAATGCAAATCTATTTTCGAACGAATATAATTTACTAGGTAAAGCGTTTTATACACGCGGTTTGTCGATTATTTTTAACAATGTCAATAAACGAACAAAAAGTAATCAAAGTCGATATAGGAACATGGAGACGGGGTAGTGGAGGTTTGTGGGTCGAAAAAACCGACGTAAACGGATAAACCCGCCGGGAAAGGGTATATGCAATAATTTTTCAACTTCGTCGAACCGCTTTGTACCTTGAAAAACAAGAAAAAAACAAAACAAAAACAAATATCGTTTCGGCATTTGTATATTTATATTTTAACCGTAATCGTGCGTGCGACGTTT